TGATGAGCCTGTGTTTTCAGAAAATTCTCAGTCGAACCGATCAACTCGGTAACCTCAATGGGTTTGCAGAAGCAAAGGAGCAACAGGAGGCTTGCATGTGAGTTTTAAAGGGTCAAATTAATCAAAAAAGAATTGCACTTAAAACAAGAATTTTTGATTAGTGTAACTTTTTCCGAGCAGTGTGTCAAGCTAGAGGTTCCACCTCGCGCAACGGGTACACCGAAACGTGAAAATGGAAATCGTAGAACGCAGAAATCCAAACAATAACCTTTTAAAGTTGCTACCCAGCTAGCATAAAAAACATTCTTTCATAGAAATTCTTCTACTGGAAAAAAAGTTATTTTAATGAACTTTGCCCCGGGCCAGGAATAGGCTAGTGGAACAACGCCATAATGGTGGCTATGTTCTCCCACTGTTAACAGGAAATATCCCAAAAGCTTTTTCTATTCTTATTGTTCATTTTGAGAGCATTTGGCGAGAGATTCGAGACGATTTGCGAGAAATACTTGGGGGAATTGCGGTCATTCAACACCGGTATTGAGGTGAGTGCATTTTACATAGGAAATCGGATTCAAAAATTGAGTAAATGGATTTGAATTTCTGTAATTTCTATTCAAAACTCTCAACCTGTTGTTTTCATATAATCTGAATTCGAAAATAGTGAAAGTGGCGAAACTAAAAGATTCAGAAGCTCATCGATGACATCAACGAGTCGCCAAAATGAAATGAAAATCTTTGAACTTTCTCTTTTCTAACATTTTTCACTCTTACGCAAGTTTTGCCAATGCAAATTCAGTTTCATTTATTTATTTTATTTTTATTTTTAGTTTTTAAAACTTCCACTTTCGCAATTCGCAAGATAAGCAATCAAGATTGCTCTCAACTATCATTTCGTGGTGTGTTATTACCAAGTCTTCCTCTAGTATTATCTTGATTTCTTGCTGATTTTCATAAATTCATTAATTGCAAGGAATGAAAATTTGCAAAGAACAAGTTGTGCTGTAGTTTGAAACAATATGACAATTTGGCAATCAATCAAAGATTGGACAAGTGTTCTACCAAAAGCGCCAGCGGTAAGTTTTGGAAAAGGGACAATGGCTACTCACCGAACAACGGAAGAAATGAGTGGAATCGGAATGTAACTGAAATGGAAATTTGACTTATTGAACTGAATAGTTAAGTTTCCACTATGACCGGTCAATCTGTAGAGATAGGTGCCAGCCGGGGCTCCTAGGGATCGTGAATGTGACCTGGAAAGATTGGGACAAAGAAATCGATTAAGGAATTACCGGTTGTGTTGGAGCTGATGGCCCGGAGCACCTGAAAGTGGCTGTTAGACAACCATTAATGTCTGTTCTGAAAAAGATACGGTAATATTATAAAAGCTTAATAAACACGAGCAAATTGAACGTCTAGAATATCTTTTGAATTGAATTGTCTACCTGGTGAACATCGAAAAGTGAACACAAAAACTCATTGCCCGGACTTCTAGAAATCGGAGCTTTCAGATCAAAATAGGCTGAGTTTAAAGATTCTTGGTCTGCTCGAATTTTGGGCATTTAAAAGGAAAAATGGAGGGAATTCCTATATTTCTGCCTTTTGCGGGTTGGTTTTGTTGAAAATTATTGATTTTTTCAATTCCGAAAACCGAAATCAAAGTCAACCCAAGCCTTTGCAACTTTGCTAAATTTTCTATTTTTCAATTTCCAATTGACAGATCAGACTATTGTGTGAGCAAAATCTCTAGTGAGTGCTGTGGACGCAATCGATCGGTACTCTTTGATCAACTTGTTATGACGATGATGTTTGCCGTCAGTCATGCTCAAATATTACAACTGGTTTGTTTATGGCTTAAAATGAAGGATATTTCAATCCATAACCTAGGTAAGCCATGTCAGTCTTCTGGTTTAGCCCAGAAAAAGCTAAAAAAGTGTCTTCATTCGAAATATTTCATTGCATCTCAATCTTTCTCGTTACGCTCACAAAATACTCTTTTGTGCACTTTGATGAATTAAAACAGGCAAGGTCTACCGTTAGCGAAATCTTCAATTGCTGGCATGACATCGGAATTTGAAGAGCCCGAGACGAATCGGGACGAAGTGTAGGCGTGGGCTCCGCCCCGTTGGCGACATTTCTTGGTGAAGTATTTCTTCCGTTGTTCGGTGGCCACATCCGGTTCCGTTTGGCAGTATCATGATGTAAGTGTTAGTGATGATTAGCGTACAGAACTTGATTCCGACAGGTGACTGTCGGCCAAATCGCTTGTCATTATTGATCATTATTGAGGTTAAAATATCAAAATTTTATTTAAAAATACATTCACTGTAGAAAAATATGGCCAATCAAAATCTCAAAGAGGATAAAAGAGGCGTGAAGCATTTTTTTTACAAGATGTATATAGGATTTCTCACGAGATGAGAGTCGAATCATTTTCTGAAATGCAAAAAGAGCTGTTAGAGCGAAAAGCATTCAATTATCAAGGCTTGACATTTTCTATGTAAGTAGAACAAACCAAAAACTTACTCTGATTCAATAAAAGCAATTTGATTTTGCTAACTAAAGTTTAAATTCAAACTTGAGCCTGTTAGATCAGCATATCTTGTACACGATCAGTGTACAAGAAGCCCCAGCTGGCACCTATCTGTACACATTGACCGGTCGTTGTGTAAGCTTAACTATTCAGTTCAATATCAAATTTCAATTTCAGTTACATTCCGTTTCCACTCATTTCTTTCGTTTTTCGGTGACCACATCCGGTTCCGTTTGGTGGTATCAAGATGTAAGTGTAGCTGCTAATTACTGTACAGAACTTCATTCCCAGGTGACTGTCGGCCAAATCGCATGTCACTATTGATCGATTATCTTAAAATATCGAATATCGAAACTTTATGTAAAAATAGATTAATTTTGAATAAAATCAACACAAATCAAAATCTCAAAGTAAAAGATGTAAGTGTTAGTGATGATTAGTGTATAAAATTTCATTTTCAGGTAACAATCGACCAAACCGCTTGTCATTATTGATGTTAAAATATCAAAATTTTATTTAAAAACACATTCACTGAAGAAAAATATGGGCAAAATCACAAGATCTCAAAGAGGATAAAAGAGTAACCATTTTTTATTTTCAAAAGAGCAGCGTGTAGCCATTTTTTACAAGATGTACATGGGACTTCTCACGTGATGAGAGTCGAATCATTTTCTGAAAAAAGAGCTGTTAGAGTGTAAAGCATTCAATTATCAAGACTAAACATTTTCTATATAAGTAGCACTGATTCAATAAAAGCAATTTGATTTTGCTAGCTAAAGTTTAAATTCAAACTTGACCCTGTTAGATCAGCAATTTGCTCACAAGTCAAGCTTTATCACTCAAACTAGTCAAATCCATCAGAGTTTACTTGTTAACTGTTAACCTTGATTAGAACTTGTCAAGAACTAGCTCGACTAGTTGACACTACCTTCCAATTCAAATTTGCGAGAGCTAGTTCTGAAGTTATTGACGAATAACTTGCGACCGCTAGTCTTATAAGCCAACTAAAACCAACCGTGGCTTCATCTTCACCAAAGCCACCAAATGATAATTACTGGAATGCCGAGGAACACGCCAACAATGCCAGGAATAAGTAAACCAACCATTTCACGATTTTCTTTCTAAATTTGAACAGTTGTGATCAATTGAAAGTTTGAAAATGAATAGAAAAAGAGTAAGAGAGTTCAATATGGTTCTTTTTCGGTGTTGCTTAAATACTTTTTGATAGTCAACAAATACTGTGAAATAGATTTTGAAATTATGCAAAAAAAAACGATTATCTTGCCTTGTCTGTATTTGCTTTTTGATACCGGTTAATTGAATTGTGTCATAAATAAATGGAAACATTGAAAATATTTACGGGAAAAGTAATGTTTACGGGAATGGTTTGCTGTTCTAGAAAGGAAACTGATGAAATTTTGTGGCTTTGTTCACAAATTTCAATGTTCCGCATTTTTTCAACTATTATTTCATGGCTTTAATCGGAATCTCACAAAGTTGAAGGGTTTTTGTCGATTGCTCGTGATAGATATGTTCACGATCGAGATCGGGTTTGATGTGGTAGTGGATGACTGAAAAATCGTCAGTTTCGATGTCCCATAGTGATTATGGACAATTGGATAACAATTATTGCTCAAGTATAATCCTAAGTTGTAAATCATAGCTGACTCCAAGATAGATCTGATCTAAAATGACAGAGTGTGGCCTTGACTTGGAATTCATCTACTAGTAAGTCTGATCTAGCCTGGCCTAATCCTGAAGCTAGTTTGCCTTGACTCTAGCCCTGGTCGGACTTAAAAGCTATAAAGTTTAGAGATCTCCAAGATTTGCGTACATTTTTTATACCCATTCTTTAAATTTTTGCTTCGAAGAAGGAACACTTGAGTATTTAGAAAAAGTACACCCGATAGCTGTCATACAAAAGTATAACTATGAATGTCGAGGTTGTACCGTGAAAACAACCAATGTCACTCGACCAGATAAGATATTCTGATTAGCGTGTTTTATGCTTCAGTACACTAGGTTTAGTTACCCAAACTTTAACCTGGTATACTAATATGGTTTGTGCTCGGAAAATAAAAACGCTAGCTTTCTGATGCACGAAATTTTTCAGTTTTTCCTTCACCGCTCAATGGACGTTGCTGGTGATTCAGAAAAACATTGATCAAGTTGAAAATTGAACTTACAAATCAATGCTCAAATTGAAATTATTTTAAATATTTCAGAATTGATTTCACTTTTTGTTTGCATTTATTAGGTTTCGATGAAAAAGAAAATTTATTTCTCAATGAAAATGCGGATTCAATGTTTGATAGCAATTGTAGGCAACTCAGCGATTTGGTTGAATGAAGGGGTGTCTAATGGTACAATGGTACAATCTTTAGCCGTTCACCGCTGACGAAGAAATCCTAATCCATACAAATATCTCTACTACTTGTTGCTGATATCCATAATCGATCTCCTCACTTCACCCCATCCCACCGCTCTTCAAATACCCTCCCCATTGCCTCAAAACCAACATCGCCAGCTCCTCTCTTGCCCAAATATTATCATCGATATTCATCGCTGTACAATTATTCAATTTTCTCACAGCCCCTTTCCATTCACATCCATCAATCCACTCGAAATCCTTCAACAACACCAAACTCACTCTATATCTTATCTCCCATTCACCAATCCAAATCGAATTTTGATTGTTTGCCCACCATTTTCCATTTCTCAGATGCAAGAATGGATTTGGCAATCGGAAATTGAAGGGCTCGTAATATTTAGGTAAATTTTGAAAGTGTTGAGCGTCTTTCTCATCGGCGAGAATGAGCAAGACTTGGTATTGAAAACAATTCTTCCGACGGTTTCCCTTCGATCGAGGACTGGGATTCTTTTGATACCACATTTGATAGTTCTCCAAGAACTTTAATGGTATTGCAACCCGATGATATCCTGCATTGGATTTGCCGCCAATTGGAAACGGACTCTTGTTGTCCAAACCCTTTTGAAATAAAGTGGTGGAGAAGAAAAGACCCGGACAACCGGTGAGGGGACCGTCGTGGAGTTTACTGTAAACGAGTTGCCATTTCAGACGGGGAAGGCGTGGAGGGAATCGACCGGGGAAAACCTGAAAGTGAAGCTTATGGTGGGGTGAGATCTCTAATCTAGAGTGAGATTTTTAAAATCCACTGGGTGGCCCACAATTATAGCGTCGCGCTTCAGAGGGTCTAGCATTGGTGAAGATTGGGTGAATCGTTCTGATTTTTCTGGAGAAAAACCTTAAGCATGTCTCCTGTAACGGTGCCCATTATCTAATCGACTTAAGCTTTCAACTTTTTTTAGATGACCTTCCAAAGTTGAGAGCCGAGTGCCGACTCATTTGTGGGATTTTTTTAGAGCGACCTTGTCAAAAACTCCTTGAGATTTTTTTTCATGTTAATGAACGAAATTCCACATGCTCTAATCGGTTTAAATGAAAAAATTCTTGAGAAATGTCACCAAAACTCACTTAATATGATCTATTTTTACTTTAATCATTTATTGGGCATTGAGAGAGCCACTAAAGAATAAGAAAATCTTATTCTTTTTTCAAGGTCTATCGCTTTCAAATTTTATAATTAATAATGATTAATTGAAAATCATTAAAATCTTAAAGACTTTTTAGCAAAAAAAATCAAAATTAAAATCTCAAAAAGTAGTAATCACGACACTTGGCTCTCAACTTTGGAAGGCTATAAAAAAAAGTTGAAAGCTTGAATCGATAAGATAATGTGCACCGTTTCAGGAGACATACTTAAGGTTTACCCCCAGAAAAATCAAAACGATTCACCCAATTCTCACCAATGCTAGACCTTCTGAAGTGGGGCACCATAATTGTGACCCTGTAGTTACTTGTGACAATCCAGCATTTTCCAGGATTCTCAGAAATCCATTTCCAATCTTTATACCAATCAATTCTTTTTCACGCACCTCATTCTTCGTGATTCGCTGAGCGATTTCTGTGGGCGCCATAAAGTAACTCCCATCAACACAAGCCTTTTCCCAGTCATAGAAGATCATCAACAAACTCCGGAGATCCCAGCGTAAACCTGAACGCATTTGAATTAAGTTTAAATCTTAGCTATTGGGTAACTAAACCGAATTTGCACAACTTTAAAACGCTGTTCGACTTATCAACCCTTATCTAATGCACGGCTCATGAGAAAGCCAACATCAAAAACAAACCTGATTTATTCGTCTCACATCCATTCTCTGAAATATAATTCCCCCATTGAAGCAAAAGCCTTTGTCGGAGATTTTCGCGAAATTCCTCATGAAAAACCCTTTCCATTGAATCCCATCCAAACCCGGGTGCTTGAAAATCCTTCAAAAATGCCACACTTACTCGATAGCGGAAATTGTTGCATAAAAAGTTTGTAAAGCAACATTTCTGGCTTAGACAAAGAAATGGATTGTCTTCTAAAGCAGTCTTGGCCACTGTAATATGAAATTTTAACTACGATATTTGAATTGTTGAAGCAAAGATCGCGTACATTTATCAGCTGAAAGAAGCTGAACACGGGCTCCATTCTCTTGATCCATTGCGGTATTCTGTGCATCGTTTTGTCCCATTTCATTTCATCATAAAGATCATTGAAAGACATGCTACAAGACGGAAATGATATTATTTGAGAAGAATTTTAAAGGAAACAAAAAAATCAAATAGAAAACAGCTGATCGATAGGGAAATAAATGCCGAATTTTCAATCATGAATCACAAAAGACGGGAAACTTTTCAGAGAGAAGGAAATGGCCAAAAATTGCTGCTTTTCTGGGTGGTGAATCAAAGGAAAAGTGTGACCAAAAGCTTAGTGATTCAATTGAAATAAAAATTTTTGAATCTATTTTAGAATTTCTAAATCTTTCCAGTTAAAATAGCCAACAATTCGCTTTTCCGAGATTTATCAAATTTGATTAGAAAAACAAATTGAAGCCCTTTTCTTCTCCCAGATTATATAAAGCTTTTAAAGTTCGGGAGAACAATGCTCGTGGGAATGTGCAACAAATGAGGGAGGTCAGTTTGGTTGAAATTCTCGTGTAAAAGAACAAAGCTTGATCGGCGTTTATCCTATGATCCTTTTTGAATCAATTATCGAGAATTAATGTACCACCTAACGTGCCAGTGCTAATAAAAATGCCAAAGACTGCAAAAAGAATATTAATGTCCCTTCCATTATTGGGCCAATCCGGGCAACCCACATCGTTTCCCGGAGAAACTGTGGAGAGACGAAATCAACGAAAACCCCGACCTCATCCCCCTGCTCGCAAACATTCCTTCAACTCACGCTTTCTTATATTTCCCAGCAATGTCTTTCCTCCTACTCAGAAAAAGTCCTTTCTTCTTATAAAAAGACGACAGATTCTGACCTTGGCCAAGGCCAAACCTCACCCAGCCCCAGTTCTTTGGAAAATCTTTGCTCGTACTTGAAAATTCAATTCAGGACGGCCACCCGAAAATCTTGAGTTGGTCTCCAACCGACGAGGGTGAAGGAGTGCCGATATTGATTGGAATGCCGGCTTTATGGGTGACAATGGTCACTCAACATCAAATGATCACCAATCCGATTGCCTCTCATCAAACGAGAAAGATTTCCGGTTTAACGCAATATCTCATCCAGTCAAAGCAGCTATCCGCATTTCATCTCCGTTTTCCAAAAGTTTCCTTTCAACTTTATCGAGTCAAGTTGATCATCACTGTCAATGAACCCCAGAAATCGATTTTCTTGAGCCTATCGGATTATTTTATTCCCTTGATAAGTCGAACAGGGTTTTAAAGTTGTGCAAATTCGGTTTAGTTACCCAATAGCTAAAATTTAAACTTAATTCAAATGCCTTCAGGTTTACGCTGGGATCCCCGGAGTTTGTTGATGATCTCCTATGATTGGGAAAATGCTTGTGTTGATGGGAGTTACTTTATGGCGCCCACAGAAATCGCTCACCGAATCACGAAGAATGAGGTGCATGAAAAAGAATTGTATAAAGATTGGAAGTGGATTTCTGAGAATCCTGGGAATGCTGGATTGTCACAAGTAACTACAGGGTCACAATTATAGTGGCGCACTTCAGAGGGTCAAACATTGGTGAAAATTGGGTGAATCGTTTTGATTTTTCTGGAGAGAAATCTTAAGTATGTCGCCTGGAACGGTGCCCATTATCTAATCGATTCAAGCTTTCAACTTTTTTAGATGGCCTTCCAAAGTTAAGAGCCAATTGTCGTTTGGCACGATATTACTATTACGCATTTTTTGGGATATTTAAAGTTTCATTTTTTTCCCAATCCTGCCTTGCCCAACCTTGGTACGTACTGGCGAATAGAAGCCGTTGTTTCCTGTGGCCAGCGGTCATCAAAGGCTTTCGTACAGCTCCCCGGCTATACAGTCCTGCTTGAGTCAATCGTCGAGAAACGGTCCATCGAGAGACATCCTTGTTTGCAACATCCTTGATCAGCCGAGCTCCCTCAGTTGATGTCATGGTCGGATCCTCCTTGGAAGCCATCATCACAAGTATTCGATCCTCTTTTGCTGTTGTTCTTCTTGGCCTTCCTTTCTTCTCTCTTTGGTACATAAGGCCCGTTGTTTTTGCTTTGGAAACGATGCGAGAAACAGTCGAAGGATCGCATTTGAAGAGATCGGAGACAACGGCTCGAGAAATTCTTTTTTTTCTTGCTTTCATGATTTTTTTTCTTTTTCGGGAGTCTTCAAGTAGGTACCTGGCATCTGAAAAAACCAAAATTGGTGTAAATTAATAAATTTGAAAACAATAAAAATGAGAAACATAGAATGTTGCAAGACTTTTGCACCCAGTTTTTCGGGGTATTTTTTAGTAGTTTTGTCATTTACTTTTTTGTTTTACGCTGAACTTCAAATTTGTTTTTGTAAATAAAGTGTACATGTATTATTCTAATTAAAAACAAAAATCCCTACGAACGGGTGGCATTTTCTATAAAAAAATTTCATCGATTTTTTTGAAAAAGTGATGTTGCAAGACTTTTGCTCGGTATTGTACTCTTAAATACCGAAAGACATGTTTTAAAAGCTTCTCTCACAGCAAAAAGTTTAGCAACGCTTGTTTATATCCGAACAACCTAATAGCTCCCTTGGTTGTCTGCTTACAATTACGAATTTGGAAGATCTAGATCTGAGCCAATGGTGTTACCATTTAAGATTAGCAACTAACTTGCTAGATTTACTCTAATAACTCAATTAAAACCAAAACTTAACGTCTTCATCATCTCGAAAGTTCACAAATGAGAGCTGCTGGAATGGCGAGGAACACGCCAACAATGGCACCGATAAGCCAGCCAAGCATTTCACGGGTTTCTTTCTCAATTTGAACTGTTTTAATTAATTGAAAGTTTGAAAATGAATAGAAAAAGAGTTTAAATCGGTTTGGTTTTGGTGTTGCTTAAATACTTTCTCATAGTCAACAAAGCATTGTGAAATAGATTCTTAAATTATGTAACAAAAAAATCCATTATCTTTGATAGATTTCTTTTCGGGTGGATTCTTTGTATTTGCATTTTGGTATTGGGAAACTGAATTGCGCTAAAGAAATTCGAACCTTGAAAATATTTGCGGGAAAAGCGAAAAGTTGTTCTAGACGAAATTTTGTGGAACTTTTTGAGTAATCTTTTCCACCTAAAGCCATTCCACCACAAGCCGATTTCCTCCTTACAGCTAGTGACATCGAAGCTGCTTTCAAAAAGTTGAGACCCAAAAAATCGCCTAGTCCAGACAAAATTACTGCTTTTGTTCTAAAGAAACTACATAAAGTGCTAGTCATTCCTCTTGCCAAATTCTTCAATAAAATTTTGCTTGTCTCTGCGGTCCCAACTTACTGGAAACAATCTCTTGTGTCGCCTCTTCTCAAAAAATCGCCCAAAAATATATTCGCTAATTATCGTCCCATTTCTTTAACTTCTCCTGTGTCAAAACTTTTTGAAATTATCATAAAAGATAAAATTTTTCAACATTTTGATAAGTACAATCTTTTTTCTGACCAGCAGTTTGGCTTCCTTAAAAATAAATCCACAACTTCTCAACTTATTTTAGCCTATAAGTCCTTTTTCAAAGCTTTAGATCAAAAAGAAAAATCTATTTCCCAACTAGAAGCCGTCTTCTTAGATTTTGCAAAAGCTTTTGATTCTGTTCCCATTGATCTTCTAATTCACAAACTGCATGCTTACCGGCTCAGCCCACTTGTAATTTCGGTCGTCAAAAATTTTCTTTCTCAGCGGACTTTCAAAGTAATTCTAAATAATGTTCTTTCTCCCTCTTTTGATTGTCCTAGCGGGGTTCCTCAGGGTAGTATTCTTGGTCCTCTTTTGTTTACTATCTATATTAATGACCTGCCTAACTGTCCTTTCAAATCAAAAAATTCCTCCATCTGGCTCTATGCCGATGATGTTAAGCTTACGTTCAAAATTCCCATCGGAACTCAAGTAGCTTCGCTTGCGGCTGTAAAAGATGCAAACCATGACTTAGAACTTATTAATTTGTGGGCCAAAACGTGGAAGCTTTCCCTATCCCCTTCAAAATCTCAACATTTTTCCACTGGTAAATTTAGTTTCTCTTTGGTAATTAACAATATTCCTATCAATTACATTAGTAAATTAGATTTTGTTAGAGATTTAGGTGTCCACATCTCTCCCCCTTTTAATTTCACTAAACATATTGAAATCATTTGTCGAAAAGCTTCTTTTGTTTCTAGCCGTATTCTCAAATCAATTGTTCATCCTAACCTAAACTCTTACCGCAAATGCTTGACGACTTATATCCGGCCCATCTTAGAATATGCTTCTATTGTTTGGTCTCCCCGCGCACAAGTCTTTATTGAACGCTTGGAGAAAATTCAGAGGAGGTTCACAAAAGTCGCTTTATGGAAAATTGACTATTCTAAATATTCTAGCTTTACTTATGAGGAGAGACTTGCTTTTTTTGAACTAAAAACTTTACAGCATCGTCGCTTTGTCATTGATTTAGTCGAAACTTTCAAAATCCTCCGTTGTAAACAGATTAGCCCTTTGTTTATAGACTTTTTCAAATTTAAACCGCGGTCAGGGTCCAGAAGTGGCTCATTCCTTTTGCAAATTCCCTTTGCTTCCAATGCCTCTTTATCAAATTCATTTCCCGTTAGAGCCGCTAGATTATGGAACTTGCTCCCAAACGACATACGAGAAATTCAGTCGCTTTTCATATTCAAGAAACGTATCGATGCTTTAGATCTAGTGGCTCTTTGCCGTAAGTAATTGGCTTATTGATTTCAGTATGTATTGTATGATTAAGTATCACT